TTATTATTTATATTTATATCCCCCCAGAAAGGGCACAGTTCCTTTATGACACTGCACAGCAACCTGTTGTGCTGGATTAAAAACAAAAACACCAGCGTGGCAGGAGGCCATGTACATGACACTGATCAAAGGTCACTGACTGGAATCACTGCTCCCTCCTACCATTTCTCCATTGAAACGTTCGAGCAGGTTGATCATCGAAGCCAGTGAATGAACATCAACATGGCAAAACATCAGCAGCGATTCAATAAGGATGCTAGGAAGGTCAAGAAGAAAGTGGACCAGCATACGAAGGATAGAGACTCGATGGGGTAATGGAAATAAGGGAAGGCGGTGGGATTGAATGGACAGCTTGCTCTGAGAGCCAGGACACAACAGCCTCCTTCAACAATTCTATGAATCGTCAGCCTTGTAACGCTCACGTAACTGATAATTATCGCATCATATTACTGCCCGATAATTCTCACGTCAAAGGTGACAACGGTTAGCTGGTCCCAACAAGCTGGGAGGCGTCCATCAGTGGAATGCATAGCGTAGACCCTTCTATTGGAGAAGCTCAATGGACAATTGATCGGGAAGCGGATCCAATCCATCAGGGATCGGGGCTGAATATCAATACGAAGGCTTGCAACATCAACCCCGAAGCCAAGAAGCTCCAACTTATAGGTCGTTCCAATCTGTGGCTGTTTCCAGCCCGAAATTCATGGGAATATACGTTAAACATCCCATGATCAGCAGGAGAAGAGTTAAGAGGAGTCATCAATAAAGAGAGCTGCCTTTTACTATCCTAGGGGAGTGGGGGAGCTGTGAGCACTTTTGTGTTGGGATTAGATACCTCCATCTGCTGCAATGGATTTAGCAGTACGGATAAGTGTTTTTCGAGTCACTTTTACATAGTTTTAATGAAAGTAGTGCAGATGGGCAATGATTGGAGATAAAATAGTAATACAGTAAGCTTCTGATAACTAGTCACTCCAAACGAAAGGGGTCAGTGACGCAGTTATCAGGAGTGGCGAGTTAGCCGTATGTATGAATCCACAAATAAATGCGGTTGGGATATTTACAACGTGATGACTTAAGCGGCGGTGACAACTTAAGCCAGGGTGTCGAGTTATCAGGAGTTCACTGCAGTAATAATAACCATCCTTGCATTTTGATATTGCCCCTTATCGTGCCATCGAGAAGTCTCAAAGCACTTTACAGGATTTTACCGTCAAGTGGAGTCGATGTGTATTTATAGATGAATGTGTTAGCCAATTTAGCATGCAGCAATGACCCACATGAAGTGAAAGACTGATTTTATCCAGGGGATTGTTGACCAGCGCGCTGTGAGGAACCCCTCTCTATTTTTGAGTAGCGCCATGGGATCTTTAACATCCACCTGAACTGGCAGATGGACGCTTGCCTATATGAAAACCTCGACTCCCTAAAGCTTTACCTACCTTAATGTTGAGCCTCCCACGCTTACTACACAAGATGGTTCTGAGGAACGTGTCCCTTGTTGGAATAGATAAAATAAAATAGCCTCCTGAACGTGACATTTAGACTTGGGAACGAGCATCCTTGAGTCAATCATTGACACACTGTAAGCACTTTGAGACATCTCGAAGACCTGATAAGCCGCTATATCAAATGCAAGAATTCTTCTTATTCTGCTATACTGTAGGATATTTGGACGACTTGCAGAATCAAAGAATTTCCAGCAGTGGAAGAAGACCAAAAAGCCCATTATGTTCGCCTACAAACACACAGTCACGACACTTCACAGTGAATCCTGCGAAGTGTTTTGGGTTGTCCTCCCACCACCAAAGGAGCTATATCAAATACAAGGGTTATTGTTCATTTATTTCGGTCCATTGGCATCTCTCTGAAATTCCTGTCTATTCCCTTAACGCTTCAAATATTACAAATATTTCTCTAATTCCTTTTTATAAAGCTATTATTACAACATGTATCAGCAAACCTCCGCTTGTTTCCTCGCCTCATCCACCTCACAGTAGGTGAATGAGCTTTCAGTCATTTTGTCCCCCTGTTTTCTGGAACTCCATCCTGCAATCCCTCTGTCTCGCTGCCCCCGGCCCCCCTCCCTGCCTTCAAAATCCACCTTAAAACCTCACTTTTCAACTTCGCTTATGGCCACCTTTCCTCTCCCACCCCCACCCCGCTTCAATTCCTACCCCCCCACCAGCTGGAGCTTTGAGTCAGCTGCGTGAAGTATCTTGAGACAACCTCCTGATGTGAAAGATGTTGTATAAATGTAAATCGCTGTTGTTAATCTTAAAATTCTGAAATCTAATTTAGCAGCTCAGGCAGTAACTTCTGAATGCCTTATCTGCACTGCTGAATGCATGACAGTTTTTTTACAAGTTTAACACAACTTATCTGTGAGATCAGGTCAAAGTCTTGAAATCGCACTCTAATATCTACTGCTGTTTACAACACCCCAGCAATATGCCTAGCGCTGTCAGAGCCGCTACGTGCAATGACCAAGCGAGCAAATTAATTACAATTTTATTGATGAATTTATTAATAATTTGGTTATTGATGTTATTGTCGCTAGCGGAAAGATTAAGTGTTATGTGTCTTGCGTGCAGTTTTCCATTAGCTGAAGGAATGCACATGATTTTTTTTCCCCTGCAGAGCATAATGGTTTTAAGGGAAGAATGAATCACTGGCACTTTGGTGTTTGTAATTTCCTATGAGGGAAAGTAGCTTGTGAGCTGTGTGAGATGCAATAAAGGGCTTGCTGCAATTTATGTGGAAAGAGCAGAACAGCTCAGTGTACATTCTCACAATTAATGCCACTCCGCATTGTGCTGTACTTCTGAGCTATTCAATGCAACACAAGAACAGGAAGCAAAGAGAGGAGCAAAACAATATATAGGGTTTTAAATTTACCTTTGGGAATCTGTCAGCTTTCCAACCAGTGATGATTATCATTGTGATCGTCATTGTCAGCCTGCTTGATGTGCAACAAACACACAGCAAATTATCCTCCCGTGAACAAACCGGTTGTTCTCTGTATTTCATGTGTTTGTACAAAATAAGAGATTACTGTGCATTTACGAGGTGAAGTTTCATTTTTCTCAACAATCTTGAGATTGACCCTTTTCTCTTCAACGAAAAATCTACAATGTAAAACGCAGAGTAAGTCATCCTTATCATGTAGAATTGTTGAATTTTACAGCGCAGAAGAAACCGTGGCAGAGCTGGCGATCTAAATTATATTAATAATAATAATCCTTGCATTTGATGTAGAGGCTTATCACATCGTTGAGACGTCTCATAACTCTTCACGGGATATACTCTAAAGTGAGTTGACTGTGTTTTGTGGGCGAAACGCGGCTGACAGTTGCATACAGCAATGTTCCACAAACAGCCATGGAGTGAGTGACCAATTTTATTTTTGAGTGATTGTTGGCCAGGACAGCAGGAGAAACTCTCTTCTCCTTTTGAATAGTGCCCTGGGATCTTTAATGTTCACTTGAACAGGCAGATGGTTTAATGTCTCATCCAGTTTAATGTCTTATCTGTTTAGTTCCACTCTCTTGTCTTTTCCATCATACTCTTCCTCTCTAAAATATATTGTTTCTTTGCAGATATTTGTCTAATTATCGTTTCAAAGCTATTCTGGTTTTCTGTTTCAACCACATGTGAGCTTATGATGCGGGTGGGTGACCTATTTTGGAAGAGGTGAATCTTAAACGTTTAGGTTAAGATTGGGGGACAAACCAAAACAGTTTAGGGAACAAGCTCCTTCTCTCCTCACCACAGCACACATCCTTCTCGGGCACTGAAACCTTCAACGCTAGATGAACATTTGTTCCCAGTTCATGGAATATCTTGGAATGATGAGGCACAGACCTTAACACCAACAGGCTAGAAACTCAACAGATTGGACCTTCAGTAGAAAATTGGAAATCAGTATTCTACCTTACGCTTTCTCTCACTGACCTGCTCTTGATCAATGCACAACATGATAGACTTTCAAGAAATAAAGGACCTTTTTAAGGGAATTGTGTTGAAATGCCTGAAGAGGAATTTGGTTTGGATGTTAGTCAGCATTGCTTTTTTGAAGAGCACAGGAGACAAAGTTTAGTGAAAGGCGCTGCATCAAAAGCAAGGAGTAATTTTTATCATTATTTTATAATAGTAGATAATAATAATTCTAATAATAAATAATATAATAGTAAAGCACTGCAGGACCCTACCCTGTGTGCGGGGGCGCTATATAAGTGCAAGTTGTTGTGGAGTGGGATGTTACCAGCTTTACCTTCAAACCAAAGTCCCTTCCTTTCAAGGACTAGTTAGTGGAGGCAGCTCCAGGGTGGGTGGCTTTAGTCAGGGCAAACTTCCATGGTGACAGCCCAGTGCAGGCATAGAATGAGAGAGAGAGAGCACAGAGGAGACAGACTGACTTGAGCACAGACAACTTTCCCCACATGCTATATTCAGAGCTCAGCTAAGCAACTTCAGTGCAATCACACAGACCCAGACAGAGCCATGTCTGGCTGTGCAGGCGTTGAGATTAGATAGAGCCATTGCATGCGTTCAGATAGACAGATCATCCTCCCAGGAAGCGTTGTGTTGTGTTGTGTGTGTTTGTGTGTGTGTGCACATGTGCTGAGAGGGGAGGGAGAGACAGAGAGACAGAGAAAGAAAGAACATACAGTAATCCAAATCAATGAATTGACTTTTTTTTCTCTAAAACCAAATAAAGGTCTACCTTTATATTTTGCCCTGGGGAATCAGTTGAACTGTGTGAACAGTCTCTGCTTCCATCCCACACTGTTGAGTTTTAGATTTATTATTTTTCTGTGGGATTGAGGGGAAGGAAAGGAGAGAGAAAGAGAGAGAGAGAAAACAAATCTTTGGAACCTGATCATTAGAGTCAAGCGAATGAGATGGGTTAATCGATTTCTGGGCACATTGACAGGGAAATATGATGAGTGAGGGGTGTGTGTGTGTGTGTGGGTGGGTGTGTGTGTGTGGGTGGGTGGGTCTAGTGTGGTGGGATGGGGGGAGTGGAATAAGACATCACTGTGTAACTGAATGAGAAGAGGGATGCTCTGTGGTGAAAAAAAAACCATTGTGAAGAGGAATTAACGTGACAATATAAAGGGAGCTGTTTCTTTTTTTTTCAAGCTGAGCCACAGACAGACAAGACAGGAGGGCAGATCCAGCCTATAGACTTGGGTGGAGGAGGTAGATTTGTCTTCAAAGGGGGTCAGTAATTCTACCTTTATCCTTTTTTTAAAAAAAAATCTGGAAAGGTGGAGTGGGGTGGGGGGGGGAGAGAGAGAGAGAGAGAGAGAAAAAAAACAGAAATAGGACAAGAGATTCCCTACCATTTCCTTGGGTGTCCTTCCAATTGATTAAAAATTAAATTAAAAAATTATAAAAATAATAGCAGAGTAAATAAACAATCATAAAATTATTTGCTTTCTGTCATTTTTTTTGGGTGGTGGGGGGGGAAAAAAAATTCATTGCAATCCAAAGGTAAATCTCAACACGATTTGAAAACATAGATTTATTTATCATAAAAACCGTTTTGGGGGTATTTTATCGGTTTGGATTGATTTTTTTTTGTTCTGTTGGTTTGAATGGTGATTGACGCAGTACTTTAAAAGCAGCTTTCGATAACCTTTCGAAAGAAGGGAGGAGAGCCTTTGGAGCCTTTTAACAGTTTGGAAGCTGGGACTCTTAATCCGACCAACCACCAGGAAAAAAAGCAGGAAAACAAAAAGAAGAGGAAGAAATCTGCAACAGCTTTGATCAACAGTGTTGGGTTTCAGCTCAGGGGTAAGTGACAGTGTGGAGACACACACAGAGAGAGAGATGGAGAGATGGAGAGGGAGAGAGATGTGGAGAGAGAGAGAGATGGAGAGAGATGGAGAGAGAGAGAGAGATGGAGAGAGATGTGGAGAGAGAGAGAGATGGAGAGAGATGGAGAGAGAGAGAGATGGAGAGAGATGTGGAGAGAGAGAGATGGAGAGAGATGGAGAGATGGAGAGAGATGGAGAGAGACATCTACTCAGTGAAAGTTGACCCTCCCTAGTTTTGCGCTGTTAGTGTTAGTATCTCAACACAGTACCATCTCTTTTGTTGGGTTGTGTGTGATTTTTTTCCCCCCCTCGAGATCTGCCAGAAAGAAACCAGGATCGAAAGCATCTGATTTGAGAGTCAACAACAGGACAGGGACAAGACTCTCTCTCTCTCTTTCTCTCTCTCTCCCTCTCTCTCCCTCTCCCCCCCTCCTCTCCATCTCTTCCTTTATCTGTATCTCTCCTTTGCTTCTCTTCCCCCATCCCCTTCCCTCTCCCTTCCCTCTCCCTCTCCCTCTCCATCATTCCACCACCCAAACAGCTGATCCTTCTTTTTTTTTCTTTGACCCTTCACTCTCTTTCTTTCTCTCCTTTTTACCCCGTCCGTCCTTCTTCCTCCCTCCCCCTCCCTCCCTCCCTCCCTCCCTTGTCTTGTCTATCCATCCACTCATCCCTCCATCACCCACGACTGGTCCTTTTTATCTTCTACCCATCACAATCCTCCCTCCCCTCTTGGATGCTAAAGGGAACCCAGTGCTCCCAAGAGCAGCGTCCAATAAAGACAATTTCTTCTCCTCCTCTTCTCTCTCTCTCTCTCTCCCTCTCTCTCCCGAGGACTTTAATCAAACCTCTCTCGCCAATCCCTGCTGATCCCCATTGGAACAGGGGGACGCCAGTCAGTCACTTGCCTCTCGTCTGAGTCAACGCATCCCATCGCCAGAGCCCCTCCAGCCATCACCAACCATCTGGGAATCACACAGCCTCTCTCTCTCTCCCCCCTCTCTCTCTCTCTCCCACACTCTCTCCATCCACTTCCCTCTCTCAGAGCTCCCAGCTTCTCCCAAGTAAGTATGATCTATTCTCTCTCGGTTATGTCCCCCCATCCCCTCTCTCTCCCTCTCCCTCTCTGTTTACATTAAAATCAGCCCTTTAAATTGTGATCACAAGAGATCTGTTACTCTTTCCTCACTCTCCCCACTCTCTCTCTCTCTCTCTCTCCCCCCTCCACCCTCTTTCCCCTTACCTGCTAATCTCTTCTCAGTTATGTTTTGTTTTACCCCCTCTCTCTCCCCCCCAAAAAAAAAATAAGATGGGAATTGCACGATTTGGGAACAGTACGTTAGACTGGATTTGCTCACCAGAATCTTATTGCAAAGAACGGTCTGCCTCAGTTTGCTATGCAATTGCACTGATGTAGCTCATTCTAACACCCCCCCACCACCCCTCCACTCCCAGAAAAAAAAAACTCTTTCATGCTGTGTGTCTGTGTGTTTTGGGGAATGTTAATGTTTTTAAAGCTATGCCTTGTGTCAGCAATGTTGAAACAGAATTAAATTAGCCTGGATTTCTCTCTCTCTCTCTCTCTTTCTATCTCTGTGTTGGTAGCAGGTGGAGAGAGATTGGTATATTGAATAAGTAGTATTTTATTTTTGCACATTTGCTTTGCCTCTTGTGAGTGAATTTGTCAGCAATGTTATAAAATTGTTCTTCTATTTAACAGTACAATGAATAATTCACACAGTCAGGCTCCGGGATAGGCGAAGCTAACATTTAATTGTTCTGTGGTTCCTATTATACAGAGTTCATCCACAGTGATTGCCACCCCACACCCCTCTTTCTTTCTTTCTTTCTCTCTCTCTCTTCTCTCTCTTTCTTTACTTGTGTCTCGTACCGACTGATCAAACCGATGTTAGACATCCCCGTAGTTTTTCTCATTTCATTACTTTTTTTGGTGGGGGTCGCGGGATGAAATAGAGAAGAGAAATGCCATTAAAATCTTCCTACACCCCCCCCCCCCCAAAAAAGAACCCACTTCACTTCCACTAACGTTGCTACACTTTACTGAATGTTTCCCTTGCTTAGCTGAACTGTCAGGTTGGGGGAAATCGAACCCATTCCAATACTCACTTAAAAAAAAAATCCCTTTTTAATTTTTTTCTTTCTGAATTCAGTGTCAGTAATTTGGAATAATATTGATAATAATCCTTGCATTTGATATGGCGAGTTATCACGTCGTTGAGACGTCTAAAAGCGCTTCACAGAATATACTGTAAAAGTGGAGTGACTGTATATTTGTGGGTGAACCATTGAATTGCCTGTTTTTGGGGCGAGGGAGAGTCTTGGAGAGAGCAAACGTTTTTAGCAGAGCTGTCCGTACATTATTCTGATTATATATCTTTTCTCTCTCACTCTCTGAAACTCATCCCAACAATTTTCAGAGAGTGCAACTGAGATTGACGCCTGTGATTGACGGTGGAGGTTTAAAATATAATGCTGAGATCAAGTCTCAAATCACGCTCTTTGCTGCGTTGAAAAGCAAACTCATTTGGTGAACGAGTATTTATGTTTTATTCCTGCAGGTGCTATTTGCTGCTATTACTCATGCATGCGATGCAGGTTAAATTCACGCCGTGTCTTACAAAATTGTACAACCTGCTTCCTCTTTCTCTGGGATGTGGAGGGGGTGTTTAAAAAAGAATTCAACCTCCTGCGTCGCTTTTCGCGCTTGTATCACCTGCGTAACCATTAAATTAAATGTTATTGCTCTTAAAACAAAGCATTTAGGGATGGTGCGGGGGGGTGGTGGAGGGGGTGGGGGTTCGGGGTAGGTCAGCACACTGTGTTCAGTCTCCTCTCGCTCATCGCGTTCATTAGAGGCTGATACTTGGATGAACAGGCAGATGGGAAGTTGAACTGTATTTACACAGTCATGTTCTGTGAAGCCAGGGCTCTGCCACAGAATCTTTAATCGCTGTAAACAGATGACCTGTGTTTTACACACAGTGGAAGCTCCATTCACAGCCCCACTTTGTTGTCCTGTCGAATGGCCCCTTTGTCCGCTGGAAATATTCGAGATGAATCCAGATGCGTAAACGCACTAGGCAAAAAGATTCTGTTCCTTTCACAGGGTTACAGTTTGGCCCACCAAGCTGTCAGTTTGCATCCTTAACGATTTGTGTTCTTTAATAATTTCCCCCCCCCCCACCACTCCATCCGTCTGCCCACAATCTCCTCCCCCCCTCCACCAACCTGTGATTCTCCCCTAAAGGTATTGGACTCTTTACTCCCTGCTGCTGGTGGGATTATAGCTCCACAGGCTCCCACTGCGACCGCACCTCGCCCAAGTGGTCATTATTTGTGTGTGTGACTTGACGGTGAATGTTGGCAGGCTATTTAACCATGGGTGGCATCACCACCTAACTAAACCATCCATTCATTTATTCATTCATTCATTCCTTCAATCATTCCTGTCCTCACCTGACACCCAAACACATACACACAAACACACACACACCTTCCACCTGTGGATAGTTGAGGGATAGTTGATTATTATTTTCTCTTTCCTTCTCTAACACAAACCCGTGACAGTTCTGGTCTGAATGACCTAATACTTGTGGCCGTGCTCTTTTGTAGCCCACTTTGCCACCGGCTGGGCGGGCGGGGGGGCGCGGGTGGGCAGGGGAAGCTGCAAGTATTTCACGTTCTATGATTAATGTAAGCAATTACTAAATATTAAACAGAATCACGTGGTGTCAATGAGATGTTGCGAGCGTTAGCTGCTTTAATTAAACAGTGCTGGCAAACGCGTTTCAACAATCGGCTGCTCGTGTAAATAAACTGTGGCACTTTAAACAGAAATACCTTGCGATGTGACAACAAGAAAAGGCTTCCTGCTATGAATACAGCGTTTCAGGCTATTCGTTCTCAAGTGCATATTTTTTTGGGGGGAAAAAATAATTAACTGTGAAAATTCTCAGCCCCAGAATGTTATTTGTGGACCTTTTCATGACCCTTTTTTAGCAGTAGTTTAGCATCTACTGTGGGATCTGTTAAAGCTGTAGATTATAATTGCAAATTGTTAAGGCACTAACACTGTTAAGCACACGGAGACCCTGCCCAGCATGAAGGGCACTGTATAAATGCAAGTTATTTTTGTTGCTAAGGAAGGTTTAATGCTCCCACTTGATATCTCATGATCCGCCATATTATACTGTTGATGTTTTGTTTTATTTCCTGGTTCTGTTTAGAAAATTTCCTGAGTCAGAGGTTGTGGGTTCAAGCCCCACGTCAAGACTTTACATTACATTCGAATACATTAGAATATACAGCACAGAAAACAGCCATTTGGTCTATGCCGGTGTTTATGCTCCACATGAGCCTCCTCCTGCCCTTCCTCAACTAAACCTTCAAGCATAACCTTCTATTCCTTTCTCCCTCATGTACCCATCGAGCTTTCCCTTTAATACCCCTTCGAGATCATAGTCTAGGCTGACTCTCCAGTACAGTGCTGAAGGATGTACTGCATCCTTTGGCTGAAATATTAAACCGATTCCTGTCTGTGCCTGTTCAGGTGGACATTAAAAGATCCTATCGGTGCTATTAAAAAAAGGAAAGGGTGTTTCTTCCTGGTGTCCTGGCCAACAATCTCCCAGATTAGGAAAAAAAACCTGACCATTCACTTGACGTCTGTTTGTGAGAGATATTGTTGTGTGTAAATTACTACCACGTTCACCTACAAAATACACAGTTGCTGTGCTTTACAGAAAAAAAGGCATTAGGTCAAATGCGAGGATTGTTATTATTAGATTATGGTTATTATGCCACTGATAAGCTAGGGAGAGACAAAACCACTCTTAAATGGAGCCAGCCCTGTTATGCCTTTCTGCAGAAATTGCAGATATTCTAACAAAAGCCCGCAAATGACCTTTTGCGGCCAAAGATTCCCCTGCTATTTGCTATTCTCTGCTTTGACAGCCA